GAGAGAGAGAGAGAGAGAGAGAGAGAGAGAGAGAGAGAGAGGGAGAAAGAGAGAGAGAGAGAGAGAGAGAGAGAGGGAGAGATAGAGTGAGAGAGATAGAGAGCAAGAGTAAGAGTTTACATTTCTTATATTAATAATACCATTTATTAGTAATAAAAATATTATTATATTAATTTTTATCGATAAATATCGAATTTGAAATCAGGTTTAAAAATATCTCTCTTGCTATAGGTTATCAGTTGTCTAAGAAGTACTCCCATAATGTTATTTAACAAGCAGAGACTTTTATTGTTCTCTATATAGAACAAAAATTGATATCTATAAGTAGTCCCTTTTGTAGTAGTTTTTGAAAACATTTCTGAATCGCTTATGGTGTATTATGGTGTATTAAATGACTTAGTTAACAGGCAATATCATATATAGATTTCTCTAATATCGATAAATATCGATCTGAATAGCTTTTTATAGGGTATCTATCGGCTAGAGCATGCAAATGTTATCGTTCGATTGTTTTCGTGGCTCGTTAACCAAGTCATACAACATCTGCCATGATATCATGCCTCCAATATAAACTCTGGCCAGCTAGTTTATGGACTGTGTATGTTCGTAAATGTGTGAGCCAGTGTGTGTGTGTGTGTGTGTGTATGTTTTCACAATGTTTTCTAGTAAATTTACGAATATGTATACAAAAAGAGACGCCGCCACGTCTATCCACAGCTCCACCTTCCGCTATTGTAAATGATGCTTCTCCATTCGTGATGTTTCGCCAGCTATGCGCAATAATTTATCATGTTCCGACCAAAGAAATCAGCTATGCTTACAAGATTCTCATAATAAGTAACCTTCGTCTTAATATAGCTGTAATGGATATTAACTATCAGACCATATATGTATATGAAAAAGTTCTTCCTTATATTAGGCTGATTGTACCTCATAAAGTGATTGAAATTTAGGCAGCTCATCATATTTCAATTAATCTAAGCTTTCTTTGAGGCTTTCATATTTATTACTCCATTGAATTTGTAATATAACTATATGAATTTATAAAATTTCAACTTATGATCTATTCAAAAATTTCCTCCCTGTCCAGATATCGTTATATGTCTCATGGTGCTGGTGGCGATCTTTTCGATTATCTGGAGCGTTTCCTTGCACATGTTGTCGGGCGATTTCAATGCGGGAATCATCAGTGCCAAAATAACGTTTAAGGATCGCGACTATGATCAAATGAATGCGAAGAGCATAGAGATTATCAAACAGGATTTACAGAGTCTGGGACAACTGTCGTATGAATACGAAGAGACGCCGCAACCGCTGAGGAGCGACAGCCGTAAGTAGACTCGCCTATACCTCGGCTGGCCTGGATATAAAATTGCTTCTCGACAGAAACTAAGAAGCCAAAATACAAATTCGAACATATCTACGAGACGAAGGACAATGCGCCACTGCTAGCGCGTTTGGTCAGCGAGCAGGAGCGAGCACAGGAGGATGCAACAACCACGACAAATGCACCGCCCAAGATAGTGCCGAATGCTGAAGCGGATCTCAAATTTCTGTCTAGCCGTAAGTAGAGCAGAAGAGCATAGAGAAATTGAGACCACAACGTTTATGTCCATTGCAGAGTCTATAGACACACATGGCACTCGCTGGAGTCACGGCTTTGGCGCTCAATTTGTTTACGCCTTTCCACTGATATCGGAAATTGTGGCCATTATCTGGACGGCCATGTGTCTCATCTATCAAACGGGCAGCAGGAAAACATCGTAAGAGTGAATGTTTATGAAAAGTTTATTTGTAATTTCTATGCTCTGTTTGGAATGTGATACGGGGTGTATAGGCTTGGCATGTCCGTCTAGCTATGAGTATTTGAGCCAAGTGTAGAGCACATTGCGTAAAAGTTTTGATCTATGAGACAGATATTTAATTGGTCAATTGGGTATATTGTCATGTTTTATTATTTATTTTTATTTTTTGTAAACAATGAAAAACCCTTTTGAAATGTTGCCCATAATAATTTTATTTGTTTCAAGTAGATTTGTTGTTGATATCTCTCAAATGGCCATAGATATAGGGTTGCTAGATGGGTTCGTCGAATATGGACAGCCCTGTAGTCGGATACTCCCAAGTTCCCAAATTCCGAACAGAGTATAGCATAATCAGGTATACATTCAGTCACACTCCTCTGCCATTTTCTTACAGTGTCCTGCCCAAGCCTTGGCGCATTGTCGTGCCCTCCATATTGATCTTCTCGCTGATGAGCCTGGGCAGCGCTGCCTATACGATACTGACCAATGGCTATCTGCGCCGGCTGTGCGGACAACTGCGGCAGAGTCTCACTAATCCACTGGCCATTAGGTGAGTTGTAACTGTTTGTTCAACTGCCATGAATTAACTAAACTCTTCCGTTAGTTGTGGAGATGCCATTGCTCTGCTGCGTCCGCGCATTCACGAGCACAGCGTCTCGCATGATGCGTATCTGGATCTGTTTCGCTGCAGCTACATCATCAGCATGATCTTGTGGTTCCTGGCCCTGCTGATCATGGTGCTGCGCTATGTGTTCGCCATCGATTTCCAGCTGGTTGACATTGAGGACATGTTCGATCGTCCGCTACAGCCGGTCTACACGGAGGTGCAGCAAAGCAGTCCACAGCACAAGCAGCAGCAGCTGAGGCCCAGGTCCGAGGATGATTTCCAGAGCGCCAAGTCGCGACTCAGCGATATCACAGTGCCGCTGCTCGATGCGAAGAGCCACGAGCAACAACAACAACAACAAATACACTTAACAACTGTCGCCTAAGCCTTGACTTTGTCACAAGCGCAAGCACATCAGAAATCTCAGGTTTATTTTTATACGATTCTTTTAGCGAACAAAGCCGAGCTCCCAAGAGCGCAACTAGAACAGATTGAAGAAGAAGACATAGCATCGGCATGCCGAAGCTTAAATATTCTTGCAGAAGCCAAAGTTTCTTAGTTTTCACACTTTTAGAAAGTATAAAAGTAATATCAAGTACCCTATCTAACTGCCAAAATGCGATAAGCTTTCTCTATCACGTAAGCCCTCTTATATGAGCGCCTTATCAGCATTGAAGTATTATTGCACGTTTGTTGTTATAGAAGTAATCAGTTCTTAATTTCAAATTTATATTGCTTTCAAAACAAAAGGCGGAAAATATTTTCATTGCGGAATTTTGAATTGAAGCGATTGAAATAGTCTCAGTTATATGATCTACCACTCCATTGTGATTGGGTTTATTAAATATAAGATATTGGAAAGGTATCAAAATTTTGTATAGGTAAACTCTTGCATGGGATTTTTCCGAGAGTTTTGAGTGATATTTATCATCATCAATGAGCTCAGCAGTTTGGTAAAATGAGTTTGATGTAAAAGAATTTGGTACAAAAACTTTATAAGCTAAAATATATTTACGCAAGATCTGAAAATATTTTATTTATGAACGGAGAGCAGAACGAAGTTTTATTTTAAAAAATTTGTATACCATAGAAATTACTTCCGAACGATAATAACTCAATTAGACTCTGATAATAACTCAATGATCATGGCAAAATGTTTTACCTACTTAGATTACTTATTCTTCTCTCCTGCATCAACATACTTCTCTGCAAGAATATTACAAAAGTTCTCTGTCTGCTGAAATACCAAAAAGAAAAAAAAAAAGGTTTCGAACAATTCAATGATATTAACTAAGCCTAAGCTAAGTGAACTCGTGCCTCGTTTTAATTTATATAACAATAATGAATAATAATTATAATCTTGTTTAGTGTACGAAGAATAGTTTTAATGGAAAATGCAATAGTCTAACCAAAAGAACCGAAAGGTGCAAATAAAATACAAATATTCCAAATACAAGCTCTGCCCACCTGCTTAGAGCAGCTTCATGGTGATGGTCTTCGTCTCCAGATAGTTGTCCAGGCCATCCTTTCCCAGCTCGCGACCAATGCCCGACTGCTTGTAGCCGCCGAAGGGGGTCTGGGGCAGCACGGCATCGTAGCAATTGATCCACACGGAGCCGGCATCGACGCTATTGGCGAACTTCATGGCCTTGTTGATGTCGTTGGTGATGACGCCGGCGGCCAGGCCGTACTTGACATTGTTGGCCCGCTCGATTATCTCCTCAATGGAGCTGAACTTGAAGATGGACTGAACGGGTCCAAAAATCTAAGAGTAGATTAGGTTAGTCACTGCTGAGAGAGGTGAAACTCAGTTCGGGCTTACCTCCTCCTGGGCAATGCGCATATCGTCCTTCACGTCGGAGAAGACGGTGGGCTCAATGAAGTAGCCCACATTGCCAATGCGCTTGCCGCCAGCCTGCAGCTTGGCGCCCTGCTGCTTGCCGCTCTCAATGTAGCCGAGGACCTTGGTCATCATCTCCTCGTCGATCTGCGGGCCCTGCAGCACCTTCTCGTCGAAGGGATTGCCCACGGTGCGTGCCTTGGCCTTGGCAGCCGCCTTCTCCACGAACTTGTCGTAGATCTTCTCGTGCACGTAGGTGCGGCTGCCGGCGCAGCAGCTCTGGCCGTGGTTGGAGAACAGTGCCTCGTGGGTGGTGTCCACAGCGTAGTCAACTGCGGGGTAGCCGATCAAATGAAAGCTCTCATGGTCAACTCATACAACACTCACTATCCGCATCCTCGAAGACAACGACGGGACTCTTGCCGCCCAGCTCCAGGGAGACGCGCTTCAGATTGGACGTGGCCGCCGCCTGCATCACAATGCGTCCAATGTCCACGGAGCCGGTGAAGGCCACCTTGGCAATGTCGGGATGCTCACTGATAGCAGCGCCCGCAGTGGGTCCAAAGCCGTTTATCACATTGATGACGCCCGCTGGGAAGCCCGCCTCCTTGGCCAGGGCGGCCATATGGAGGGCTGTGAGCGGCGTCTGCTCCGCCGGCTTCATGACAATGGTGCAGCCGACGGCCAGGGCGGGACCCCACTTCCAGGCCAACATCAGCAGTGGATAGTTCCAGGGTATTATCTGACCCACCACGCCCACCGGCTCCTTGCGCGTCATGGCAATAAAGCCACCGGCGGGTATGGTATCCCCGAAGAACTTGTCCGTCCAGCCAGCATAGTACTGCAGCGTCATAATCGAGATGGTCACGTCGAAGAGTGCCTCAGCGAAGGGCTTGCCATTGTCCTGGGTCTCAATGCTGGCCAGGAAGTGCTTGTCGCGCTCCATGAGCTCACAGAGTCTGCAAGAGATCGGGCGGGTTAGAAAGGCATAGAGCTGAAGGCAAGTCCACTTACTTGTTCATCAGGTTTGTGCGCTGCAGCGGACTCATCTGACGCCAGGCGGAGCCACGATGGAAGGCCTTCTTGGCAGCAGCCACAGCTAGATCCACATCAGCCTGGCAGGAGAAAGGGAAGGCAGCTTAGATGGGGAAACATTTGCACTGGCTTGGCCCACTCACCTTGTCGCCCTCGGCCACCTGGACGATCTCCTTGCCTGTGGCCGGATTCTGGGTGGCAAAGGTCTTGCCGGATACGGCGTCAACGAACTCATTGTTGATGAACAACTGCAAGTGGAGATGGCATATATGGGTTCAGTGCTCGTCAAAGTGTGTTTACCTCACGGTAGCCAGGTGGGCACTGCTCGTAGCTGGAGCTGTGGCAGCCCGCTTGCAGCTGCACCACCCGTCGTGTCACTAAATAGCGCCACCTCATCTGCGACCTTGCTCCCTACTTAATCTGAACTTAACGAGTTGTTAGTCACGCGACATTTCTCTTCAATGGGAATATAATTGAAATTCCAATCTCGACTCAGAGCCGACTTTATAAAATGAACTTCAATTACTGTCATTGTCAGAGGCAATTTGCTAAAGTGAAGTTCTGGCATGGAGTAAATGTTGTTCACCTAACACATCAGGAGCAAATTGATGCATCATTGAGAGATCATGTAAATATTTAAACTGCCATAGTCGGGGTATTCAATTATCTAGTTAACTTGTTGACGCGAGCTCAACTAATCTAACATTGCGTTAGCCCCTTATCAACTTGGTCATTATCAGGCCATATAGAAATTATATGATTGCTCGCTGTTTAAGTACTACATGGGATGGTGTAAGCAAGTGAAAACTTGAGATAATACCCTGTAAACAGCTGAAGCGATTAAGTTAAAATAATCGAGAAGACAATGCTATTTATGGATTGATTTTTTTTTTTTTTTTTTTTGCAGTGTAACTTGTCTCTTTCCTCTTTTATAGTTACATATATTCCGGGGTAGCAGAGCAAAGATTGCTTGAATTTAGACTTCTTAAATTATTTTAATCTCTTGCTTTGCATATAAATATAATATTATAAGGTAGTCTAATATTTGTTTCTTGATTCCATTTGTAGACACATTTATATATCTCAAACTATTCAATTTATCGTTTATAACATTCCTATGTATTATATGGATTTCTTGTGTGAATAGATAAGAAATAAAATCTTTCTTATCCACTTAACTTAATTTAGTTATATCTTGAAATATATATTAATGCATATACAATAACCTTATCATATTAATCTGCATATTCATGTATATATAATCATACATATGTCTACTCTATACTATATCTCTATATATACTTATAGTGCCCATTATGCCCTCCTACTTATGCCTGAATAGTGCTCGTCATTGTCAACTGATAAAGCGCCAGATGGGCCCACAGCAAATTAAGTGTATCAACACAATTATTTAAAACATATACTGAGCTGTCGCACTTCGCACATATATTATAATTTAGATGTTTATATATGTATGTATGTATACAGATATGAATATAGTTCGCATATGTAATAGCGAATTCTTAAGTGTTGCGACACAAAAACAAGTTTTTTATTTTGTATTTTTATTTCTTAACAGGCTTTGCAAATATTTGAAAAAATCAATTAGACGATTACGATTTTTAGTCACATTCATTTTACTTTAATATGAAATATAAGCACTATTTTTTATTTAACTATAATATATATACATATGTAGTTTAAGGAGCTTTGCCCAACTAACTGCATTGACTGTTGCCAACTCTGGTCATGTAATTGATATTCTACACTCATAATATTTGTTTATATATATGTATATTTATTAGCTATATATACTATACACATCGACTTACCTTCGTGTACTTGGGCTTTGCTGTGGAATTTGCCATATTGAGACGGGCTGCTGCTGATTGAGTTGACTTCCCTAGCGTTTGCAATAAACTGAAGCTGATCTCGTTTTCTAGACGCCTTTTATAGCTGATATTCTCTGTTGCTCCGCTTTTTATCGCTGGCACGCTTTGCTGCCTGTCCTTCTTTATCTGTTTTGCCGGCCGGCGAAAGGCGAAATGAAAATATGCTTGCAAAGCTGTCTACTGTTTATAAATGCATATATCCTGTTAAGCCAATAGTAAGAGGTCGTTTGGTTTCTATATATATTTTTTTTATGTTAGTTCAATATTTATAAATATATTTTTCTTATTTATGCTTGACTCATATAGTTTTGTTTGATTGAAAAAAAAAAAAAAAAATAATAATAATAATAATTTAAAGTTATATAGAGCGAATATATTATATACATATTTCATATATAAGATCACTTTATTTGATTAGAATATTTATTACATATTCAACATTATTTAAATGTGTATAGTTATATTGTTTTATAATTTATATATTCTATAAATATATATACAGATTTATTTTTTCGTTTTTCTAGATCTACAAATTTTTTCAAACTATTAAATATATCATCATAATCTTTATCGAACATAAATTATGTTCTATGTTTACTTCAATAATAGTTGTACAACAAAATTTGATAAAAATAATTTTGCGAGGTATTTATTAGTTTTGCTTCAATATTTTTTGTGCTTTATGCTTTATGCGTCTGTTCGCGTGCCAAAAAAAGCTTCACAGCTTGGGCTTTCATCCAAAATAATGGGTGCTTGTCGAAACTAAGAGCTTTTGTGTGCTATAAAAATACAGGTATGCATATGAATTATAATATTGAGATTTTATCAGTTAGGTCCAGTAAATAAGGTAGTTTTCCATTTCTATTGCTCAGAGTCTTGTTGTGGTCACAGGTGAATTGTCGGCTCTGTCGTATCGCTTGATGGGAAAGCTCTCATAGGTGAAGGAACGTTTGACCAGTGCGTGATCGAGGAATTTCAGTTTGTGAAGCGATTGTGCGATAAAGTTGCTAAAAAAATAAAGAGATTAATTACATTGCATTCATTTGAATAACTTATTGATTTGCTCACCTGTAGTATGCGTAGTCATAGTCCAGGTAGCTGGAGAAGGGCTGCAAGTGGAGGCCGTCGGGGCAAATGGGATTGCCATGGAGGCTTAGGTACTGTATGTTGGGAAAGAGCCGCTTGATAAGCCGGACTGTAGCGGTCAGATCACTGAACTGCAATTGATATACTCTGTAATCAGCTTTAGGCGAGGATATGCATCTTTGATCTACTACCTCATTTTTGTTCAACATGAGCACCTCCAGCTGTGGCAGCGGCACGGTCAAGGTGCGCAGCTGCGACTCGTGCAATCGATTGCAGTCCAGCACCAGATAACGCAACTGCTCAAACTCGGCCAGCCAGGAGAGATCCTTGAGACAATTGTGGCTCAAATCCAAGTGCTCCGTAATCTCCGCATAGCGCTGCACCACCTCAGCTGGCAACGTGCGTAGATTCTGTTGCACCAGAATAAGCTGAACAAATACAAATAGAAAGGTTCATTGAGATCGACTGTGACCAGCTGTGGAATACTCCGTTTACAGTTGACTGCATAAATTGTGAACTATGCTCTGTTGAATTTGGAATACTCTAGTACAAGAACTGCCCTACTAAATCCAGAATCGAAAATATATACCCTATTACAGCTAACCAAATATACTCTTATTTGCATTGTCTACACTTGGAGCACTTGGAGAATTATTATTTGAGAATGGGGCTAGATAAGCGACAATCAGTCTCACCTGCTCGCTGTACTTGTCGTCGTCATCTAATACTTCCATATTTCCACAGGCCTATTTAGTTCAACTCTTTAGCCGAAAGTTATTTTGGTTTTGCTGCTTTCGGTGTTCAGCAGGCGCTACGTCTGGTCGCGGATCTTCTCGTGCGGAACTGCAGTTGATAACTGCCCGCATTTGTGAATTACTGTGTATTGCTTTTTATTGTGGCACAATCTTTTCACTTCGTCTTTGTGTTGTTTATTTTCTTTGGCTTCTTTGAGGTTCGGCGGCAAAGCTTTTGCGCTGAACTTGTTCAAGGTAGTTAGTGAAGAGCCGCAGACGCAGCAACAGCTGTTTGAATGCGTGACTGATAAGCCGCGCAAACGTGACACATAGATGGCGCCACCTTACAAAATGTACAGCATCGCATTTAGCCTTGACCAAATGTTTATGAATGAAGAGTAAAATAATCGTACTTTAAATTGAAATAAATAATTATAGGAAATTGCGAAAAAAATATTTGTAGTATTTTAATATATCATTAAGATTTGTTTCCATCAACAGTTATTTTTTTCTTTCAGAAATTATGCAAATAATATATTATTATATTATTTTAACAGCTAGCTTAATGTCTAAAAATCGGATAAGAGGAGCAGATGGGAGATATTTGATATACTATTTAACAGCCAATAAAATGTCTACTTTTGACAGGCAGAGAAACTTACTATAAAATTTCAAGCGATAATTTAACTTAACAGATGATGGATAACATATAATACTCAACAGGCTAATATTACTTAACAGCCAGAAAAAGTGCTCAGCAGATAATTCCCTATATGCTGCGCAACTCGATATCAATTAGTCTGTTATATGAAGCATTGACACTCAGTTTAAGCTGCGAACATTAACTTATACAAAAAAAAATAAAATAAATAAATAAATAAATAAATAAAATAAAATAAAAATAAATAAATACAGATTCCCAAATGCTGCACTCGCCATTCGCTTAAGCGCATTTATTGACGGTCCACATCCAGTTTATTTATGCACTTGACCAGATTGTGTATACGTCAAGTGCGCCGAAATAAAACAACAAATTTTTTAATTGAAGCCAAATGCACATGAAACTCGCAGATAAATCTTTTAGCACACTCGACTAGGCGCATGCCACAAAGCCCTACAAAAGGGAAAGGGGGCAAATAGGGAGCGAGCGGGGGCGACTTAGTGGCAAAGCGCCAGCAAATACACGTTTAATTGCCAGTAAAGCCGCGAGGGTAAACACAAATGATGGTCGAGAGTCAAAACGAACCCAAAAGCCTCCCCTCTCCCCCAAAAAAAAGAGTCAAAGAGCCCCAGCGCAAACCAAACCCAGCGCTGACAAGCGAATTCGTTGGCGACTCCCACAAACTGAATGGCAAATGCAAAGTTTGCGGCAGCAAATGTTGTGATTGACTGCAAATGGCTAACAAAACGCTGCTCTGTGCATGTGTGTGTGTGTGTGTGTGTGTGTGTGGCAGACAAGCGGCGAGCGAGTGGCGCACTCTTAACGCCAAACAATACCAGATGACAGCATAAATAAACAAAGTGCGAGATACAAATTGCGGCGGCAACAGTATTTAACTAGGCATTGTACTCAATGAAACATGACACACTCAAACACACACGCATGCACAGGCTTAAGCACACACAGCTAGCAACAGTGAGTTGCAGATATGTACGTGCACTGGCATTGGCGGCATCCATGAGATACGTCAGCGAAACAAATCGATTTGTAAGTGCGTGTCAGGCTTTGTAGGCATTAGAGTCGGCACATGGAGTCCCTCAGTGATTGAGATTGTATGTGTGTGATGTGTGTGTTTGCCACGCCCTTAGGCGTTAACTGTTGTTATTACTGCTGTCTATTGTTGCATTCATTGATTTGTTGTACTTTGTGGTTCACCTTTTGCCCGCCGCCCACCTGTGTTTTATTTATACTCCTTTTATTTTTGTGGTTTTTGGTGGGCAGCGAATAAAATCGGTCTTTGTGCGTGTTTGTCGATCTTTATTCACTTGACTTTACCACACTTTGTTTACGCATTCATTGCATTTATACCAAAACTATTTATTATTATTTTGGTGCCTTGCACGCGGCATTATAATTCAATGTCAATGTTTTCTCTTTCACTAATTACGCTCTCTGTTTTCTCTTACTCTTTCAATTTTATTTTATTTTTTTTCGTGTTGCTTGTCTTAATTATTGTAATTATTTGCAGAAGGTTTCTGAACTTTGGCCTGTTTTAATGGTATTTTGGGCTATGATATGCGTCATCTTAGGCCATTAAAGTTTATTGATCCGAGACGAAAGTACACCGAGAATAAATTCTTCCAAGAATATAGTGCCTAGACATATTGAAACTCGCTAAAAAATTATTTAAAAAAAACTATATAATTAGCTAAAATAAAATTCAAAAAATAAAAAATAAATCATCAGACTAAAATTAAAATAAAATTGTATATATAAATAAAAATTTCTAAAAATTCTATTTTAATAATTTAAAAAATAAATTTATTTAAAAAAAAATATATTGATCACAGATAATTTTACAAAGAGAAAATTATATAAATTAATTTAAAAAAATTTGATAAAAAAATAATAATATAAAAATTTATATTAAATTAATTAAAATATGCAAAAGAAATTTACAAATGTTTAAAAGGAAATGATAAATTCTTATATAAATGCAAATTAATTCAAAATTCGAATCAATTGTTTTTCTTTCAGAGTGTATAACGAAATAAAAAAAATTATCAAGCAGCTAAACTCCACTAAGTCATTTGCTTGTTTCCACTTTAACGACTTGCTCTGGAAAAAAAGGTGGCTTATAAATGGCCGTAGCTTTCATTAGAGTTTACTGGGCGATTTGAAGGCTGAGACCCTTTAGTCGGCGCCCATTAATACTCATTATTCACTGTAATTGAAGTGCCATGGATACCCCACATGACATCAGCACTGCACCCACTGCCAACCACACAAAAATGCCAGCCACCCACCTGCCGGCCAATCGCCAAGCAGCCCAGGTGGGCGTTACGAAATGATAAAACAAGAAGAAGAGGAAGCTAAAGCTGCAGAAGAAGCACTCGTGTAACTTCAATTTAAATTACTTCCTACGGGTCGTATGCGTTATATAAGACAGAGCTCGATAATTGCGATTGCCATTGCGCTCGCTTAGCGTCAATTTGAACGACCTTGTGCATACCTCGACAGCCACTCGGTCTGTGGGTTAGCCAGCCCAGCCGCCCACAGTGCTCCCTCCATTCGGCGAAATGTGTATCTCACATGAATAGACACAAATAGAAAAAAAAAAAAAACAGAAAAAATATATGTATAAATAAAAACAAAACTCAAATCGTTCGGTGCTCCGAGCGTTAATTAACAAGATAATCGTTGGAGACGCGTCGCACACTGATTGAAGGTCAGTGGGAAACAGAAATCAAGTTAAACAAATAATGTGGATATATGCTTACAATTGTAAAAGCAAAACAAAATAAAACGAAAGACAAATGCAATTGGGACAAAAGATGTAATGCCAATAGAATTTGTATTTATTT